AGTCATTGATGCAAACTTAGTGAGAATTCATTATGTCCAAAGATCTGTTGTTGTTGTTAGCCGCCATCAGGTCAGCGCCGGACTCTTGGTGACCTCATGCACAACGGAATGGGACCGTTGGGATCCATAGGGTTTTTACTGGCTGATTTTTCAGAAGTAGATCACCAGGCCTTTCTTCCTAGTTTGTCTTAGCATAGAAGCACCTGAAACCTGTTCAGCATCACAGCAACACGCAAGGCTCCACTGACAAATGGGTAATGGCTGTGCATGAGTGGCATTGGCTGGGAATTGAACCCCGGTCTCCCGCATGGAAGGCGAGAATTCTTCCACTGAACCACCACTGTCCTACTTTTGATGGAGACCTGGGCTCAGAGAAAAATAACCTTACCATAGGAAAAAGAACAGCACAAGGGTAATGCTAAACGGCAACTGACAGGGTCTGGGAGCAAGGGGTGGGGTTGGAGGTGAGGTGGGGTAGGGTGGGTGAAGAGGGGAAGGTATGGACTGGAGATCTCATCCTGGCCTGCCCCATTGTGAGGGGCAGCCTCTGCTCAGGCTACACCCACCCTCTCCCTGGGAGAAGGTGGGCCCAGTGGGGCTGACTTCTGAGTCACTGAGAGAACACAGAGGAGTGGGTCTATGTGTGCAACGTCCTGATTTTTAAATGTTGCCTCCAATTTTGAAAAACACTGTATAGAATCTAAGATACTGTTACTGTTTGAATTGTGTCCCCCTAAAATATGTGTTGTAAATCTTAACCCCTGTACCTGTGGTTGTAATCCCATATGGGAATGGGTTTTCTTTATCATGTTAATGAGATGATATTAGTGTAGGGTGTGTCTTAAGACATCTCTTTTGAAATATAAAAGAGATTAAACAAGTAAGTGAGCAAGCAGAGATGGGGGAAGAGCGGTGCCAAGCCACATGAAGATCGCCCAGGAGCAGAAGCTCGAAAGAGACAAAGACCTTCCTCCACAGCCACTGAGAGGGAGTCTTCCCCTAGCTGGTGTCCTGAATTTAGACTTCTAACCTACTAAACTGTGAGAAAATAAATTTCTGTTTGTTAAAGCCACCCATTTGTGGTATTTTTGTTATAGCAGCGCTAGATAACTAAGACAGGTGCCATTGATTGTAAGACGGTCTGATATTTAATAAACTGCTAGTCTAGAACCTGCAAAGTAAACTACGATGAGCCATTGATTGTAAGACAAATCCTAATTTCAGAGATGTCACAGTGTGAAAGAATGTGCATCGTAGAATCCAGGAAATATTGTATATTGATACGCTGGACTTGACCTGTGGGATCTTGTGCAGTTCTCAACCTGCACAACTGTACCTAGTATCTCTTATGATGCCACCCCAGGACTCTGGAGGGACTAGGAGCCACTTGGAGGCTCACTCTTGGGTCACATCTATGAACACTCAAGTTCCTTGAGGGGAGGTCATCCTTCTTCTATCTTTGTCTAAGTCGGGAATGAACCAAGGCAGCAAAGAGGAATATGTGGCCCAGTTTGCTTCTGTGGGTCACCCAGTCACTAATGATGATGCCAGGCCCCCAAGATGATGGTTCAGTAGGCATGGGGTATGGCTCCACAGGGGATTCTTTTTTTTTTTTTTTTAATTGTTGTGGTTTAAGTGAAAGTTTACAATTCAAGTTAGTCTCTCATACAAAAATTTATACATACATTGTTATGTGACCCTAACTGCTCTCCCTATACTGTGACAGCACACTCCTCCTTTCCACCCCTGATTTCCCGTGTCCATTCAACCAGCTCCTAACCCTCTCTGCCTTCTCATCTCACCTCCGGACAGGAGCTGCCCATTTAGTCTCATGTATCTACTTGAGCTAAGAAGCACACTCTTCACGAGTATCATTTTATGTCCCATAGTGCAGTCTAACTTTTGTCTGAAGAGTTGGCCTCGGGAATTGCTTTAGTTCTGGGTTGACAGAGAATCCGGGGGCCATGCTTTCTGGGGTTCCTCCAGTCTCATTCAGACCATTAAGTCTGGTCTTCTTACTAGAATTTGAGTTCTGCACTCTACCCTTCCACCGCTCCATCAGGGACTCTCTGATGTGTTCCCTGTCAGAACGTTCATTGGTGGTAGCCAGGCACCATCCAGTTCTTCTGGTCTCAGGCTGATGAAGTCTCTGGTCTACGTGGCCCTTTCTGTCTCTGGGCTAATACTTTCCTTGTGTCTTTGGTGTTCCCCATTCTCCTTTGCTCCAGGTGGTTGGGACCAATTGATGTATCTTAGATGGCCGCTCACTAGCTTTTAAGACCCCAGATGCCACTCACCAAAGCAGGATGCAGAACGTTTTCCTAATAAACTTTGTTATGCCAATTGACCTAGATGTCCCCTGAAAGCATGGTCCCCAGACTCCTGCCCCTGCTACTCTGTCCCTCGAAGGGTTTGATTGTATTCAGGAAACTTCTTAGCTTTGGTTTAGTCTCCACAGGGGATTCTGATCCCTGCAAGGGATGGGAGCTGCTAGGATAGATTTCATGCCCACATTTATACAGGCCCAGAGAGGTGACGGCATTGGCCCAATGCAACACAGCTGGGCAAAGCAGAGCCAGGCCAGCCAGGGTCCAGTGCTCCTCACCCCCACCCCAGTGCCTCTTCTGCTGATTGTAAAAATTCCTGCCCCTCTGCCCCAGGGCTGGGGCTCCTGACTCACCTACCCCAGGGCTGACAGAGGAGTCTTGGCCCCTCCCTGTTACATCCTCCTTGAGATCCTGGTGATGGACCTGCCCCAGAAAGAGCACTCTTATTTGTTTCACAAGACTTTTACATTTTATTAGTAAAATACAAAATGGTGCAGACATTAGTGATGAGGGTTGGAAAAGCAAAAGGATCAACCAACTCCTTCCAAAGTCCTCCCAAAATTGCCCTTGTCCATGTCCTTCTTGGAAGAACTAACGTAGTCTGTGGAAGGGGCACCAGCTGCCCCTAGCCTCTTTTTCACAAAGGAGGGGAGCCCCAGGGCCCGGGACCTGTCCCTCGAAGACTCTCCCAGCCTGGAAGAGCCTCAACGAAGTGTGTTCAGCCCTGTTTTCCCCTTCTCTGGCCTCTTTGTGTGACCCCAACCTTCCCAAACACCCTGTGACCGGCTCAGCAGATGGTACAGACGTGCTGGGTAGGCAGAACTGCAGGACCTCCTCCTCTGCAGACCAGAGCTGTGTTTTCTTCCTCTGAGCATCCAGTCCCATCTGCAAAGAGTGTGGCTCCTGCTCGCTGGGTGAACCCCAGCCCATGGGAAGCTTCCCTCAGGTGGAGGGAAGGGTCACCTTTGAGGGCAATGGGGAGGTGCTGCCACCAGGGACCCTGACCACTAGGCAGTGGTCAGCCCAGTCAGCCTCCAGCCCCATCCTGGAGTGCTTGAGCCATCAGCAGCCATATAGGGAACATGACTCATGCCCACAACTTCCTTCCCCACACAGTCCCTTTCAGAAACGAACAAAGGAACTGCAGATTTCATCGGTGGATTCTGATCTCATGGAAACTCACGGAAATTCCTAGTCCTGCCCAAGGTGGGGGCAAAGGTGAGGGGAGATCTTGGAGTGCAGAGAACAGTGTTTTCAGGAATGAGACAGGTGGAAGGGGACCCAGGCCACAGGGACGAAACAGCAAATGCTGGACCCGAGGTGTGTGGGACCAGGGACATAGAGCCTAGCCACCTGTACAAGCAGCGTCAAGGTGTGGCTGCTTCCACAGCTTTTCCTTGGCTCCTTCCACGGAGGTCTCAGCCTCCCAAGAGTCTGAAGACTCTCCTCTCCTTCAGCCAATCCCTCAGGTGGGGTGCAGAGCTCAGTGCTGTCTCAGTGTCGGGAGAGGGACCTTCCAAAGTGCGGTCCTAGTCCCTCAAGTACCAGAGCTTAGCCCCCCTTCAGGAGGCCCACAGGGCAGACTCCCTTTCAAAAAGGCAGGGCCTGAACTATCATTCACTTCCTTGCAGGCCCTCCAGATCACAGGGTCCAAGGAAGTGCCAATCAAATTGACTGGAAGTGACTGGCTAAGGTACTCTATTTGAGAAACATTCTGAGGCTATATCCATGGTTTGCGGGGAGAGGTTATCTGGATTGAGTAGTGATACCTGTCAGGGGTTCTGGATTGATTAGTGATACCTGTCAGGGGTGCAGGTTCTTGCCACGTACTCACCATCCCTTATTTAATCCAACTATTTCCTTCCACAGATGGGAAACCAGAGGCACAGAAAAGGGAAGGGAGCTGCCCTCTGTCACACAAATGCCTGGCTGGGTTGGTGGCGGACCTGTGACTCAAACCCCAGCCTTCAGACTTGTAGACAATGCCCCTTCACTGTACAGCGTAGACCAAGGAGGAAAAGACTCAAGCCACCAGATAACCTCATCTCCCTTCTCACAATACCTGACTGACAAGGAGGACAGAGCCTTGGCTGGGAAACATCTGGAACACCACATTAGCCTCATGCAGAAAAAAAAAAAAAAAAAGAAACGTGTCCCCGGCTGGGGGTGTGCTCTGTACAGGGGACAGGGAGAGATAGCACCGCAGGTGGCCGGGGGACTGGCGACTGCAGCGGGGCCAAGAGACATGACAAGCCTGAGAGTGCGGGCAGAGGGCCTAGCTTGAGGCTCATTTGTCAGATGCGAGTGAGTGTGGTCCCCACAAGGGGGCATGGGTGGGTCTGAGGGGCTAGGCATTCAATAAATAAATTGTTCACTGGGGCTGGGATGATATCAAAGGGAGCCTCTAGCCAGCCGGCAGCAGAGGGGACTTTTCTGAACTGGGGACATCAGAGCGAGTTGTGGAGGTCACCCCCATGTCCCCAGTAAATCAAGAATGGTCAAGGGACCTCCTGGTTGTGCTCGGGAGCTGGGAGCCGTCTCACCTGGAGGATCCTGCCTCCCTGCTCTGATCATCCCAGCTCCGGCCAGGCCTTTGGATGAGAGTGGGTATGAGGATGGGGGACTCCAGGCAACTGTCTGAGTCAAACAACTGGATGCAGGCAGGTGGACAGCTCACACTGGCACCAGGACATATGAGTTACTGCCACAGCTCCGGGGGACATAGCGAAGCCCTTCCACCATCTCCCCCGCCATCTTGCGGGAGCAGCCCTGGAGGCTCTGGTACGCAAACATGGCCACCCCCAGGCAGAAAAGGAGGCCAAGGAAGGCTAGCAGCCCCACTGCCTGCCTCCGGGTGGCTGCCTGGGAGTCGGGGACAGAAGTGATGAGGACGCCCAGACTCTGGGGGTCCATGGTGGCATGAATGGGCTCCTCAGCCTTGGAAGCCCAGCTGCCTTCAGCCCCTGGCTCCCTGCTGGGGTCTCCTACAAAGAAGACAGGGACCACAGAAGCGTGGGCCATGCTTCTAGGCCCCCCTTCCAGGAAAGCGTCTGTGTAAGTTGCAGTGGGGTCCATCTTCTCAGACTCTGGAGAGTTCTCTGGCATGGAGCTCTGTTCGTTGACCCCTACTGGCTGGCTTTCAGGTCCAACATTGTGAAATGTTGGGGCTGGGTGTGAAATGGTGGGTGTCTCAGTGGAGGGGCCCTGGGTGGAGAGGGGCTCAGTGGGGGCGGCCTCTGTGGAGGGGGCTTCAGAGGTCTTTCCCTCCACCCAGAGGTCTGACCCAGGTTGGTAGGCAGCAGAACTCTGCCAAGCTATTACGGTGGAGATCGTGGTGGAGACAGCAGCCACACTGAAATGCTCAGTTCCCCTGAACCCAGGTGGAGGACCTTCATCCTCAGCCTTTGAGGCTGAGGGGGACTTGGTCCCCGAGGAAGCAGCCACTCCAGTTGGCAGCTCTGGGGACGTCCCCAAGGCCATCTGTGCATCCTGGGAAGGAGTCACCTCCAGACTACTGCTCTCCCCTGTGGCTTCAGGCTCTGACACAGCATACTGGTACGTTTCCCATGTGGCCGTGGTTGTCCTGGGCTTACTCACGCCAATTTGCTTCTCAAACGTGCCTCCATTTTGGGTCACAGGAGCCAACTGTTTGTCCAGATGTTTCATGACATTCTGGACCCACGTCTCTGCTGGGTCAGCACAGAATAATCTAGCCTTCTTCGTCACCAAACTACAAGGGAGGAAGAGAGAGACCCAGTGATGCCCAGACACCAGAACCCAGGCCAGGGTGAACAGACCTGGCTCAAAATCCTGCCTCCACCGCTTATTAGCTGTGAGGCCTAGGGCAACTCACTTCACCTCCTGAGCCTCCATTTCCTCACTTGAGAAATACAAGACATAAGAATACCTACCTTCTATAGGGTTGCCATGAGTTGGAATTGACTCAACAGCAATGGGTTTGAGTTTTTTGGTAGGGCGGCCAGCTGTCCTGCACAAACTGGGACTGAAGGGGTTTTCAGAACATGGGACTTCCAGGTTTAAAACCAGGAGTGTCAGGCAAGCTAAGGTGAGTTGATCACCCTCTTGTGTTCTTGTAAAAATGTAAATTATGTGGAGCAGCTGGCTCGGTGTAGCAGTTGAGAATAATAACCACGTTGATAATGAAATCATTACCATGAAGGCAGGGCTCTGGGCTGTAAGTCTCCTGATTGGGGGAGGGGGGAATTTCATAGGTGTTGTCCTCCCAGGTGTGGGACTGGTGAGCTCGGTGGTGAGGCCTCCAACTCCAAAAAGGACCTGTGTCACAAAGTCCTCTTCTTCTTCTCCCTTGGTTTTATAACTCCAGGCTGCCCTCTGCCCTACCCCTCGTCTCCTGTGTATGCCCTTGGGATGCAAGAGCACCTAGTGAGCTACAGCCATATATATGGTGGCTCTGTTGGGACCCCATGTTCCATCGAAACCTTGAGCTGCCTCTGAAGCTGTGAGAGAGTGGCTGGTTCCCTGCCAAGGCCAAGGCTCACAGCTGACCAGGGCCCTTGCTCCATGCCGCAGCTGCCAGGAATTTTCCCTATGTTTAAACCTCACACCCATTCTGCATGGTGGTTACCATGTTCATTCCCTTTTTACAGATGAGGAAGTTGAGGCTCAGAGAGAAGTAGAGTAAATGTGCCTGGCTCCAGCATGCTGGGAAGCCAGAGAAGCCCAGCAAGTGTGAGCCTGCGGGCCCCCACAGGCACGGTACTGCCGTCCTCTGGGGCTTCCCCCTCCATTTCACCTAGAAAGAAGAAGCAAATATTTGGGGAACCTGGGGGAAATGAGCCTCGATGGTTGAACAGAAAGGTCAGGCAGGAGCACACACCACACTCTGCCTTCCAAACGGACCATCAAAGAGAGGAAGTGCTGGGCTTCCTTCAGCTCAGGTAGACTACAAAAGGCCCCTGGCCATTTCCTGCTACCAGGATCCTGCACCAAAAGTCACTCCCGGGGCAAGGCCTCAGGCTGGGCGATGGGACAGTACCCAAGAGAAGCCCCTGGGGGAGCGGGCCACCAAGAGGGCAGGAGGTTCCCAGCAGCCAGAGGGGAGGACACTTGAGCTCAGTGAGTTTGGGGCTCAGCTTGACCCCTCCCTGAAGTCTCATTAAAAAAAACAAAAAACAAAATTCACTGCCATAGAGTGACTCATGGTGACCCCATAGGACAGAGTAGAACTGCCCTGTAGGGTTTCCAGACTGCCACATCTTTCTCCCGAGGAGTGGCTGGTGGGTTCAAACAACCGACCTCCCCATTAGCAGCTGAGTGCTTAACCACTGCACCACCAGGGCGCCTGTGAAGTCTCATAGGGGTCCCTTAACTTCTCCAGGCCTTAGTTTCCTCATCTATCAAAGGGAGACAGTGATCTCTGCCTTTCCTATTAGCAGCAGCTTCCAGGCACCTTGCCAAGCACTTTAGTTACATTATCGCCTTCCATCCTCCCAACTACCCGTTTTACAGATAAAGAAACTAAGGCTCAGAAGGTAAACAATGTGGCCAGGATCACCCAGCTGGTAAGTGGTGAGGCAAGGATTTGCACCGGCTTGTTCAGAGTCTGGGACTGGCACTTTGAGACCACCATGGTTTGCCTCCCCACTAAATCCAGTGGGCCCGAGTGCTACATAAAACACTTCAGCCCAGGAGGAATGTCCCCCTCGATGGCTGCTCCAGGCCACAAGCCAGGGCAGAAGTCCCGCACCCCGCCTCTCCCCAGCCACATTTGGTCATTCAGGAAAACACTCCCCACCTTTGCCATGTGGCAAAGATATTAAGGTCAATGAGGCGACCCTTGGGCTGGGAGCAAGAAGGGCATTTGCCAAGACTCTTGGCTAGGAGCTTGGGTTGGGGCACACGGGTGTGGATATAGCTTAGTGGTGACCTGGGACCCCGTGAGAGCAGTACCTACATGATGGCAGGCTTGCCACAGGACTCGAGGTTCTGTTCATAGCGGATTAGGAGTTTCTCGGGGATCTTCGAGGTCATCTTGTCACACGTGATTTTGCATTTCTTCACCCCGTGGTGTTGTCCTGAGTCCACAGAAGCCCTGAGTCAGCAGGACTGTCTGTGGACATCCAGCTTCCTGGCCCCATGCTCACTTGTCCCAGCCACACCCCAAGCCAGAACCGATGCCCTGCACACCTGGCCTTCCAGGCCCTGATCTCAGGCCCCACCATCACTAAACCTCTCGTGCCTCAGTTTCCCTGCCTGTAAAATAGGGCAACAATTGTATCTACCTCATAGGGTTGTTGTGAGGATTCATGAAAATGAATTTTTACTTATAAAGTTCTTATCGCTGGCACATAGTAAGTTTAATTTTAAAAATGAAGTTGGTCCGTGGTACAGAGGGAAGATGTGAGCGAGAGTGACAGGGATTCCTCTGAGGTCACACAGCCAGTAAAGGATGAACAGGCTGTCTCCAGGCCTGGCTTCAGTCCCTTGCCTACCCCGTGGCCTGCCCATCCTCCTAGCCCTGCTTTTTCCCTACCATCTCACCTCTCAACTATCGTCACCCCCCTCATACTCATACACTCCCCTTGACTCCCCCTCAGGCTGCTTCATATTTGTGGATTCTTCTAGACCTCAAGACACACCCAGGTCTCTGCCCACCCACATCCCGTGTGCTTACCTCATGACCTGTGTGCATGCACACACACACGCCAGCAAACACAATGGCATATACATATACCCCCCACACAAAAACACACAAGGACATACATACAGCAGCAACATGTAGCAGATAATAAAAATTTTAATTGTGTAAGTACAATTGCCTTCTAAGGAAGGTGAGGTCTGTGGAATAGACGATCCTTTGTTCTGCCCTTGAGCCAGGGACTGAAGTGTCCAGTGTGACGGTTAAGGTTGTGTGTCGACTTGGCTGGGCCATGACTCTCCGTGGTTTGGCAATCGTATGATGTTGTGATCACTTCCATGATGAGATCTGAGATAATGTGATCACCCTCATGATGGGATCTGCGGTGAGTAGTCAATCAGTTGAAAGGGAGTTTCCTTGGGTGTGTGGCCTGCATTGAATATACGTGGACATTCTGGCAGGGTTCGTGGGCTGTTGCTCACTCTGGATTCTGCAGCTGGCTCCTGTTTGTCTGACCTCCAGTTCTTGGGACTTGAGATAACAGCTTACCTGCGGTCTTGCCTGTCAATCTTGGGATTCATTGATCTTTGCAGCCTGTGAGCAAGAGCCCTGCTCTCTGACCTGCAGATCTTGGGTTTGCCAGCCCCTGCGGCTATCCTGACCCACAGACTTGGGACATTCCAGATTCTACAACTGCATGAGCCATTTCCTTGATATAAATCTCTCTCTGTATATATTTATACACTTTGCTAGTTTTGCTTCTCTAAAGAACACAGCCTAAGACATCCAGCATAAGAGGGGAGAGGAATTTGGAGTCCCTGGGCAAGCTGAGAGGAGCAGGAGTGAGGAGGAGGGATGGAGATGGGGGTGTGCGCATAGGGTGGGGGTAGGGTGGTGTGGGCAGGGACATGCAGATGGCTAGGTACCACATGGAGCCAGAAAGAAACTCTGGAATGGGATGAGGGTGACTAAAAGGACAGTGAAGAATCCAAATATTTGATACAATGTTTTATATAAACATTTGAAATTGTTTGCATTGCATTTGTGCCTCCCCTCTCCCCTAAAATCTCCAGCAAAATCCACTCTCTTTGGTGTAAGTTCTATACCCCTCCTTGAGGGGTGTCTTAGGCTGGGTTCTCTAGAGAAGCAAAACCAGTAAAGTGTATAAATATATATATAGAGAGAGATTATATAAAGGAAACAGCTCACACGATTGTAGAGGCTAGAATGTCCCAAGTCCCTGGATGAGGGTAGAGACCTCTCCCAAGTCACACAGCTGCAGAAACTGGCAAGCCCAAGATCGGCAGGTCGGAGAACAGGGCTCCCACTCACAGGCTGTGCAGATCAACGAATCCCAGGTTCGGCAGATAAGCTGACAGCTCAAGTCCCAAGAATGGGAGATGAGATGACAGGAAGCAGCCGCAGGATACAGAGAGAGCAAAAAGCCGGAACATCTGCTTATATACAGATGCAGGTGACACCCCCAAGGAGACTCCCTTTTATCTGATTGGCTACTCACAGTATATTCAATCATAGGAGTGATTACATTAAAACACTCAGAATCATGGCCCAGCCAAGCTGACACACAATCTTAACCATCACAGGGGGGTATAGAAAATGAGGAAGAGCCTGAGTTTCAGAACTGAGTCAAGGTTATGTTCAGCAGAAGCAAGATCCTCAAGAGTTTTGCAAAGACCCAGTGGCCAGGACTTACAGGGCAGTAGAGTCAGGGGACCAAGCTGACTTTATCTAGTTCTTCAGGGCCGGGGGGCCCCCAGCTGACCCCTGGGTTTCATCAAAACACACATGGTTGTTGTTGTTAGGTGCCATCAAGTCGACTCAGACTCATAACGACTCTGTGTACTACAGAATGAAACACTGCCTGGTCAGATAATGTTCTGCTGTTATTCATAAGGCTTTCTCTGGCCAATTTTTTTAGAAGTAGACCTACGCGGTCCTTCTTCCTAGTCTGTCTGAGTCTGGAAGCTCAGCCGAAACCTGTCCATCATGGATAACCCTGCTGGTGTTTGAAATACCAGTGGCATAGCTTCTAGCATCACAGCAACACGCAAGTCACCACAATACAACAAACTGACAGACGCGTGATGAAATACACATTGCTCATGCACAAATGCTTAGACATGCACAGACTTGCAAACACACTCCAACTTCCCAAATACAGGCACACACAGGTGCCCCCCGACACCTTCTAAAACCCGCTGCCTCCTCTCGCCATCACCCCCCTCAGCCTGGGCCCACTGCCTTATGGGAAGTGTGGTTCAGGGTCTGTGGGGCTGGGCTGGAGGTAGAGGTAGTGGGTGGTCAAGGGGTGGCACCAGTAACTCCTGGGTGGTCAGGGAGGGCTCCTAGCGGCTGGTCCCCAAGTTGCAGGCTGCCCTTTGAGGAAACAGTCTGAGGAAACAGGATGTGAAAGTTGGCCTGCAGCCTTGTCGCCCTCCTTCTCCCCACGCAGGGCCTTGGAATGACTCAACTGCAGCCTCCTGGGCCCCGCTGAGTCGAGCCGGGTGGCAGCCCCCTAGGCTGGTCTGGCAGGTGTCTTTCTGGGGAAGCCCCAGAAAAACAGCACCCTGGAAAACCTGGAGCTAGGAGGAGGTAAAGGAGGCTGCCAGCCGGCAGGCAGGGAGGCCCATCCGTGGGGCTCTCTAGGATGGGGAAGGCCACTGCCTACCTCTAGGGCTTTAAAAAGCCACAAAGTTACCCTGTCCCCAAAGTCCCCACCCTTTCTCATGGTGCCTCCATGTCCTTGGCCGGGCTTTATTCTTCGTTCGGCCTGGGTAGGTTGTGTAATTTACCTAAAGGAGGCCTTCCCTTCACGGAGCTGAAGTTTTCTTTTGTTTTTCTATTATCCATCATGTCTGAACCCCTCAAACATGAGGGTCAGGTGGGTGGAGACCTCGTCTTTCATGGTGTCACAGTGTTCCCCAGTATCAAGCACAAGTATTCACTCGATAAATATTGTTTGAATGAATTAATTTTCAATCAACTTATCCCTCCTTCATCCATCCACCCATTTATCTACCCCTACTTGTCACTTTCTACTCATCTCCCACCCACCACTCCTTATTTAACCCCCGTCCATCTGCCCACCTATCCCCCACTCACCCATCTACCACCTGTCCATCCCTACCCATCCTCCAGCCTCCATCCTGCTTTCATCTACCCAGCCATCCATACCTCAATATATACCACTCATTCATCCATTCATCCATCCATCCAACCCTCCATCCACCCATCCATCCATTTTCTGATTCAGTAAACACTTGTTTGAATTACTTTTAAGAAAATACAAAGACCCAGGCCCCCTTGTCCTTAGCCCTGAGCTTATTTTCCCACAGGTGCTGGTGATGAGTTGGGAGAGAGCCCCTCAATGGAAATAAATGATATCAGATCACCATGTTTATTCAGTTAACCAATAAATGCTGATCTCTCCCTAGTGCCAGGCCCTGTGCTGGGTGCTGTGAAGCCAGCTGGGGTGAACAAGGCCTATCTCCACCCATAGAGGCCTCCCAGTCTGATGGGCAGCTAAGACATGCTCACATTTTTCTATGCTGAGCACCTACTGTGTGCCAGACCCTGCGCTCAGCACAAATACACATTTGCTCTCCTTAATTCCCAACTTCCCTGCAAAGGGGTGTCATTATCCCCATTTTACATATGCAGAAGCTGAGGCTCAAAGAGGTTAAATGACTTGCCCAAGACCACGCAGCTGTGTAGTGTCAGAGCTAGTTTTCTACCCTAGCCCCTAAATGGTCCTCTGTTCCAGGTCACCTTAAACACCAGGTAGAAACACCATGTTCCATAACATACCCCTAATGTGTAGGGGTTTACATGAGGGAGAAACCACTTCTTATTGCAAGTGATCGGGGAGACTTCTTGGAGGAGGTATCCTTTAGACTGGCCTTCAAGGACTGCTAAGAGGCTAACAGGCAGGAATGTTCTGGGTGGGGTGGTAGAGAGAAGGCTTGAGCCATTGCTCAGCTGTGTATGCCTGGGCCAGTCACTTAGACTTTCTGAGCCTAATTCCCATACCTGTAAAATGGAAATGATAATACCTGCTTCACAGGGTGGTTGTAAGAATAAAAAAATTAAAATGTCTGTCCTAGACATAACCAAACGCCTCGTGGGATTCATTTACTGGGTTTGAAGGCTTGGGACCATAGTCTTGTGGGACAACTCCATCAGTTGGCATAACATAGTTCATAAAGACAATATTCTACATCCTAGTTTGGTGAGTAGCATCTGGGGTCTTAAAAGCATGCAAGTGGCCATCTAAGATACAACTATTGGTCTCTACTCATCTGGAACAAAAGAGAATGAAGGAAACCAAAGACTCAAAGAAGAAACTTGTCCACAAGACTAATAGCCTGCATGAACCACAGCCTCATCTAGCCTGAGACCAGAAGAGCTAGATGGTGCTTAGCTACCACTACCGACTGTTCTGACCAGGGACACGATAGAAGGTCCAGGACAGAAAAGGAGAAAAATGTAGAACAAAACTCAGATTCCCAAAATGGTCAGACTTGCTGGACCAATAGAGACTAGAGGACCCCCCAAGCCTATCACCCTAAAATACCCTTTGAACTCCTAAGTGAGGCTACTCCCAATGATCGCCTTTCATCCAAATAATAGATTGGCTTATAAAATAAACAATGTCGCCCATGAATACTATGCTGTCTTAAATAATCAACTATATGGGACCAAACGGTCAACATTTACCCTAAAACAAAGATGAGAAGCTAAGGAGCGGCAGGGAAGCTAGGTTAATGGAAACAAAACAAAGAGAATGGAAATAATGAGAATGTTGATACATTATGAAAAATGTAACCAATGTCATGGAACAAGTTGTATAAAAATTGTTAAATGGGTACCTAATTTGCAAAGTAAAACTTTCACCTAAAACACAATAAAATATTTAAAAATTTTTTTCATATGTCTTCCTTTACAGCATAGTTTCTCAATTTAGATCAAGTAATTTTTTGACATTTTTGGACCACAAAATTCTTTGTTGTGGGGGCTGTCCTGTGCATTGTAGGGTGTTTAACAGCATCCCTGGCCTCTACCCGCTAGATGCCAGTAGCACTGATCCCTCCAACCAAAAATGATGTGAGATTTGTAACAACCCATAATGTCTTTAGACATTGCCGAATGTCCCTTGGGGGATGTTATGGGTTGAATTGTGTCCCCAAAAAATACGTATTTTAAATTCTTACCACTATGCCTGTGGTTATAATCTTATTTGGGAATGGGTTGTCTTTGTTATGTTAATGAGGCAGGATTAGGGTAGGGTGTACCTTTTTTTGAAATTTTAGACCTATTTATTAATGTTGTAAACTTTTTCCAAGGAATCTTCGCTGTTGGAATATTTTTCTTCTTTTTTTTGTTTTTTTAAATTTTATTGTTGTACTTTAAGTGAAAGTTTACAATTCAAGTTAGTCTCTCATACAAAAATTTATACATACATTGTTATGTAACCCTAGTTGCTCTCCTTATGCTCTTCCTTTCCACCCCTGAGTTCCTGTTTCCATTCAACCAGCTCCTGACCTTCTCTGCCTTCTCATCTCACCTCCGGACAGAAGCTGCCGCCCATTTAATCTCCTGTATCTACTGGAGCTAAGAAGCACGCTCTTCATGAGTATCATTTTATGTTCCATAGTCCAGTCTAATCTTTGTCTGAAGAGTTGGCCTCGGGAATAGTTTTAGTTCTTGGTTAACAGAGAGTCCGGGGGCCATGCTTCCTGAGGTTCCTCCAATCTCAGTCAGACCATTAAGTCTGGTCTTTTTACGTGACTTTGAGTTCTGCACCCCACTTTTCTCCCGCTCCATCAGGGACTCTCTGTTGTGTTCCCCGTCAGAGCAGTCATTGTTGGTAGCCAGGCACCATCTAGTTCTTCTGGTCTCAGGCTGACGGAGTCTCTGGTTTATGTGGCCCTTTCTATCTCTTGGGCTAATACTTTCCTTGTGTCTTGGGTGTTCTTCATTCTCCTTTACTCCAGGTAGGTTGGGACCAATTGATGTATCTTAGATGGCCCCTTGCTAGCTTTTAAGACCCCAGATGCCACTCACCAAAGTAGGATGCAGAACATTCTCTTAATAAACTCTGTTATGCCAATTGACCTAGATGTCCCCTGAAACCATGGTCCCCAGCCCCCTACCCCTGTTACCATATCCCTCGAAGTGTTTAGTTGTATTCAGGAAACTTCTTAGCTTTGGCTTTAGTCCAGTTGTGCTGACTTCCCCTGTAGTGTGTGCTGTCCTTCCTGTAGGGTGTATCTCGAGTCAATCTCTTTTGAGATATAAAAAAGATTAAACAAGTGAGCAGAGCAGAGGTGGAAGAAGAGAGAAGCCAGCTGAAGATTGCCCAAGAGCAGAAACTCAAAGAGACAAGGACCTTCCTCCAGAGACGAAAGAGAGAAAGCCTTCCCCTAGAGCCAACACTCTGAATTCAGACTTCTAGCCTCCTAACTGTGAGAAAATAAATTTCTGTTTGTTAAAGCCACCCACTTGTGGTATTTCTGTTATAGCAGCACTAGATAACTAAGACAGGGGGCAAAATCTCCCGTTGAGGACTACTGTCCTAAAATATCCACATGGCTCACCTCACTCCTTCACCTCCCCTAAGATTCTTAAATAGCCCCTTCTCAGTAGGCTTCCTGACCCCCTATGAAAAATTTCAACACCCCTTCTTCCCACCTCTCTCTCTCTCCCTCTCTCTTTCTCTCATAGCATTTATTTCTCTCTAACAGACCAAATCATTTACTGATTTATTTTCTGTGTTGTCTGTCTAGCAGAATTTCAGCACCCTGAGGCTGGGATGTTTGGTCATGCTATTCACTGATGTGGCCTCAGTACTTAAAACTGTGCCTGGCACATAGTAGGTGTCCACTAAATATTTTTTGAAAGAATGAATGAAGAAAATGCATGAGGAAGCACTTTGTGACATAGAAAACCTTCACCAACAGAGAAACAAAGCTAGGCATTTTTATTTCGATCTGACAGAGCCTAGATCTAAATCTGAATTTACCCTCCCCTGCCTTCCTCATCCACCCTCACCGCTATTCAGGGGAGCCAACTAAAGCAGCTTAAAACAGGTTTTTTGTCTTTCTTGCTGGGGCGGGAGTGGGCGTGAATGCGTCAGTGCTCGAGAGGACAAATCTCTGCTCTGACTTGCAGCTGCAGGTTCGTTACATAAAGTGGAGGATCCTCCTGCTTGACACAGCCCCGCAAAGCCACATTTGGGAAGTGATGCAGCTTCCCTGCACCAGCCGGATGAGCAGCCAGGAAGCCCCCAGCCTCCCTTGGGGGCCTCTCTGTCTTCTGGACCACCCCTTAGATTTTCCCTGGCTCCCGGGAGGCCTCTCAGAGCCTAGAATGTCAGCGCTGGTGAGAACTTCCAAGGCGAGCCTGGACGAATGGCTGGTTTTACAGAAGGAGAAACTGAGGCTCAGGGAGGTTGAAATCATGCCAAGTATCTCCCAGCACGGCGACCAAGATTCGGGCAGAGCCCTGAGGGTCTTGAAGCCTCGGGATGCCAAACAGAGCATCCGACCCCGAGCCCCCTCCCCTCCAGCATAGGGGTCCCTTTTCGCCCCACTGGCTTAGTAAAAGGAATCCTCCTCCCCCTCTCTCTTCCAAAATGCCCTCACAGGCATCTCATCACACTCCTGCGAGCTAACAGCTATATTTAAAGGTACAGCAGCTGGCACCAAAGAATGAAGAACTTGCCCAGGGTCACAGAGCAAGCCTACGGCAAAGAAACCTCTGCCTGACTCCCATCTTCCAGGGCTCACTGTCCCCAAACTCCCCAGGCCTCCAGGCCCAAGCACAGGCAGCAGAGAGCCAGCAGCTTTTCACCTTCACCTCCACCTCCCGTCCCAACCCACTTACTCACCCTCCTATTCCCCTGCCCCACTGATGGGTTTTTCCCAGACGGAACTGAGAGAAAATTGGCTCCGTGGAGATGTCCTGGAAGCTGGGAACTAGTTTTCATTCTGCCACAGACTCGCTGTATGCCATAAGGCAAGCTCCCACCCTCTCCGAGCTTCCACCTGTCACATGGCTGGGGCACTCCTTGAGGATGGGGCTGAATTTAATGGTCCCCTGGAGGCAGTATAGTCCCCCGAGACACAGGCACAGAGCAGGATGTGTGAGCATTCTGGCTGGGGCCCACACGAGCTGGACCCTGGACCCTCTTTCCTGTATCCTGTCCAATGAGCCTCACCCTCTCCTGCCCTTCTTGCTGGCTGTGCATCCTCAGGCCAGATACCCAACTCTTTGAGCCTCCATCTTACTGATGTCAGTTGGGATGGATACTCCTTGCCCTTCCTGGTCCTGGACTCAAGAAAGCCAGTGACTGAAGTAGAGGCATTTGCTAAGCTGTGCTTGGAGACAATAGTGTGGTGGGGGAGACACAGGCAGAGGGAGCAGCGAGCCCAATGCATGGGCTGCAGTGACCTTGACCTTCATTTGTCCTGAGACCCCTACTTCTGGGAGGCCTTGAAATCGAGGCAGAAGGAAGTCCCAGCTGTGGCCTGGCCCAGGGCCAGGCTGGGACTCAGGAGTCCAGGCTACGGATTACACATTAATCCTGGGGTGGGAAGTCCAGCCCACTGACTGCCGGGGCCTCCCACTCACTCGCCCACCAGAAGCCTCCTCAGGTTTCCCCTAATACCCACCCCACTGGGGCACCCACACCTGGGCACCCTGTGCCTCCCACACCAGCTCTCCTTGCTGCCATGTGGAAGCCACCTTGCTCCCTGGCTCAGGCAGGGGCAGCCACTAGAGACAGAGATCTTTCCAGCAGGAGAGACAGCCAGCTCTGCATCCAGCGGCCAGGGGAGAGGGCCCACCACCCTCCCAGCATATCCCTCAGAAGGGGCTGCTTTCAGGCCACAGGCCTTTCTGCCTTACCAGGGAGGGTCTGGGGGCCCTGATGCCGGGGCTGAGGCCTGCTCATGCCCGAGTCCAGGCCCCACTCACCAGCCAGGAGGACGGTCAGATGGCAGAGGGCAGCCAGGTGCAGCAGCCATGAGCGCGGCAGGGGAATCATGGTGGAGGATGGTGGGGGTCCAGGCGGGGGCCAGGGCTGGCGACCAGGGCCACGTGTCCAAGCTCGGCACCGTTGCCTCACTGCCTGAGCCTGAGCTCTGTCGCGTTTTATAATGGGGCTCACTGCCTCCGCCCCCAGCCCCCGCGCTCAGTGGGAGGGGAGAGGAAGGGAGGATTTGCGCGGTGGCTGGATTTCTCTGGATTTCTCGGGACGTTGCCAAGGAATCAAGCGGCTCCGCTGAGCTGCGCTGAGACGCGGGCTGCAGCCGAGGTCCAGGACTGGCTGCTCAAAGACTTGCCGTCTTCCCTCTTCACAAGACTGGACCTGCCTGGGAGGCTGGATCAGGTCTGCTAGGGTTCAAAGGGCGACCTCTTCTCCTGTCTGCCCTGGCCACCTCCCTCCCAGGAGCTGGTACACTCCCCAAGATCTGGCTTGGGGCCTTAGCTCCTAGCTGAGCAATAAACAAAAGGACAGAGGGACAGAGGGATAAAGAGCGCTGGCTGCCAGCTAGCCCAGGGGACTCGGGGTCCCACCCACCCATCCAAGTCTGACAAGCTCTCCTTTGGTCTGAGAACTATCTCCATCTACACCGTGAGGGAGTCCCAATCATCACCCCTTAAAGCCCCAGGCCCTGGGCTACCAGCACAGAAATGCTGACCTGTGATCTCCTGAGGCTTGTTTGATACAACCCCCTAGCGCAGTACGGGGCCAGGCAAACAGTAGGGGCTCAGCACAGTGTTTAGAAAAAGAATGCTCCAGCCCTGCTTCATATGGACAGATGCGGAAATTGAGGTCCAGGGAGGGGGCAGAACTATCCCAGGTCCTACCAAGCATCAGGCTGGAGAACCTACCTTCGCTGCCACAGAAGAGGATTTGGCATGAGTAGGGCATGGGCCGCTCAGGACACAGAAAACAGCCTTCACCTTCTGCCTCCGCCTCCCCTTTCTTCCTTTGCACCCACTCCCAGCTCCAGCCCCGGCCCCTGCTAGGCTGCCTGCCCCATCCCAGGTAACTCCTCTCTGACTCTGTAACCTGTGTCCTGGAGAAATCCTGCCTCTCTTGGGACCTCACTTCTCCACTGTACAAGGAAGAGTTGGGCTAATCCACTGGGAGAAGGCTTCCCAGTTCTGCCACTCCAGGTTCACTGTGCTAGAGGACCAGCCAGCAGGCTCCCCGAGAGCTGGCACTAATGCTCCCAGGCACTGGGTGCAGCCACAATCTGCTTTAATGGCACCCTTCCCTGCAGGCACTGGGAAGAATCCCTGAGACCCTAGAAGAGTCCAGCAGGAGCCTGGCCTAGCCCTAGGCCGGGAGTTAACTGTGCCCACCACGTCCTGGGCTACCAGCCAGAGGGAAGCCAGGTTGTCTGTGAGCCACTGTCCCAGGCTACTGGGCAAGCTGGCTCAGGCTGGGCTGGACAGAGGGGCCACAGTTCCCAAGGCCAGAGGACCCCTCAGCCCCCAGCCAACTCCACCCAAGCACAGCAGGGATGCCTGGGGTGGGGAGCTAGGAAGCTGGAGGATTCTGGAGGGTCATCTGTAGCAGAGGAGCACCCCGGCAGGATACAACATCCACTTATGTCCACTCACGCTCAGAGACTCTGTCCCAGCGCATGTGAACATGGAGCTAGTAAGCTTCACGTTCTTGACATCCAACCCTTTATTTGTTAGCTGGGGATATTGAACCCCAGAGAGCGTCAAGGCATGATAAGAAATCTTTCTGCTCTGTCCGTGGCCAGAGAGGAAGGGGAGGGGGACGCGAGGAGAAGGTGGGGAGAAGGGGAAAGAAGGAGAGGGGAGAGAACAGGGCAGAGAGGAGGAGTAGGACTAGGTATTTAATATACAGTCAATATTTGAATTTCTCTAATTGTCCCAAAAAAGTACTTTATAGTTTCTTTGCCTTCCCTCTTTCTTTCTCTTCCTCTCGCCTTCCTTCCCTCCTTTCTTTCTGTCTCTCCTTTGTTATTTTATGGAGGCAAAATTCACACAACATAAAACAATCCATTTCGAAGTGTTCAATTCAGTGGCATTTCCATCACCCAAAAGAAACCCCATGCCCTTTGTTGTTAGGTGCTGTTGAGTTGACTCTGACTCATACCAACCCCATGCGACAGAGAAGAACTGCCCCATAGGGTTTTCTTGGCTGTCATCCTTAGGGAAAGTTACAGGTCTTTCTCCCTTAGAGCCACTGGGTGGGTTTGAACCACCAACCTTTCAGTTAGCAGCCGAGGGCTTAACCGTTGGGCCACCAGGGCTTCTTCTGTAGCCTTTAAGCAGTCTCTTTATTTTGAACTGGAATCCAATCTAGGTCCATGCATTGCATTTGGTTGTTACTCATTTTTAGTCTACAATAGTCACCCTGCACATTTTTCATGGCATTGACCTGCTTGAGAGCCAAGGCCATTGTCTTACAGAGTGCCCTCGCTTTTAATTTGTCTGATTATTTCCTTGTGATGTCATTTAATCTGTTCTTCTAATCCATGGATTTCCTGTAAACTGGAAGATAGATGTAAAGGCTCAGTTAGAGCCAGGCTAACATTCCTGGCAAGACTCCTTCATGAGTAATAGTGTGTGGCTCACACTGAATCATAGCCAGGTAGTCCCACTATTCATTGGATTGAAGGGACTGATTGGCGGGTGACCGCTAGACCTTTCTATCGTAGAGGTGTTATTCCCTTCATGATTTGCAGATAACCTGTGGGATGAAGCTTTGGCATTCTGCAATATGTGGCTAGGCAGGATTTCTACAGACAGAGGGAAAATCCTAACCAATGTGGAAAATACAGGAAATGGGGAATGGTCTGGTGCCCTCGGCTCCAAGGAAGGAATGGGCGGAGAGACTGTAGTTGCAGCAGACTGCAGAGAGCTCTGACGCTGGTGTGAGGCCTGAGAATGCCGGTGAGGGACCAAGAGGAGCCGCGAGGTTCTTAGCTGAGGAATAACTAGTGCCGTGATTAGAAAAATGAGCAGCACTGGGCAGCAGGAAAGAGGATTTCTGCCCGTGGGTGAACTGCAGACGCTGCTGTGGGGTGGGTGGGGGTGGCGGGGAAGAGAGTATCCCTGCTCACATCTTTCGCAGGCCCCCATGTGGCCGGGAGCCTTCCTGGCGGCTGGAGAGTAGACAGCCTGCGCTGTTCTTGTGGAACCTGGGGGATTCCCCCAGCCCCAGAGGCAGAACCGAAACAGCTGTGGTGAGCAGAGTGGGGAGCCCGGGGCACTCCTGTGGGGCCCCAGGATGGTGGAGGGGGTAAGGGGTGGCCGTGAGCCCTGCCCCTAGGCCTACCATCACCAGGCCTCCTGGGGACAGCCTTGCCTAGCTTCTCCCTGCCCCACCCACCTCTGCCCAGCTTAACTTTTCTGGCCAATAAGGAGGGCTGGTGGAGCCCTGGTGGCACAGTGATTAAAGCACTGGGCTGCTAACCTAAAGGCTGGCAGTTCAAACCCACCAGCCTCTCCAAGGGAGAAAGATGTGGTTGTTTGCTTCTGTAATGATTTATAGCCTTGGAAACTCTATGGGGCAGTTCTGCTCTGTCCTACAGGGTCACTATAAGTCAGCATTGACTTGACAGCAGTGGGTTTGGTGTAAGGAGAGCCGTCCACATCTTTGGCATTTCCTTTGTGCACACACCTGAGCATACCTTCTTACCTCATCAGACTCTCACAGCTACATGCAGTGATATGTCCTTGTATTGCCCCCCCATTCACAGAGGGAGAAACTGAGGCTCAGAAGGGCAAAGCAACTTGCTCTAGATACCAGCCAGTGAGTGACAGGTGGATTTATTCCTCATCTGCCCTTCCTTGTGCTTCTGTTGGCCCCCTAGACAAATGCTCTGGGTGTCTGGAGCTACTGCCCTGGGAACTGCACCAGGAGGGCCAGATCTGAAGGGCAACAAAAGTAACTTGTGCCAAGATGTCCTTTGAATGGTTGTTTGCACTGAGGAACTAGTGAAAATACTCCAAAGGCAGAGAGGTTCTTGTTTCGTTGTTTTGAGAGTGTGAACTTTGTCCAGGAGCTCCAGGAAAGTGAAGAATTAGGGGGCTCAGCACTAGAACTAGGTGCTCCCCAAACCCACTTCCTCTTCCTCCTGGATATACCGTTTGCCTGTATTTCCCAGCATCCCTTGCAGTCAGGTATGACCATGTGACTGAGTTCTGGCAATGGCACACAGGCAGAAGTGATGAGCACCTTTTCCTAGCCCGGTACATAAAACCCTCCCACAATCCTCCATTCTCTTTCCCCATCTGCTGGATGAATGCACCAGAGCTGTGACCCTAGAGAAGGGCAGAGCCATAACAGCGGAGACTGAGTCCCTGGATGACCACATGGAAGGTCACCCATAGACCAGGAATGCCTGCTTAGACTTCATGTGAAAAGAAACAAACTTCTATTGAATTGAGCCACTGAAATTTTGGAGTTGTCTGTTGCAGGAGGTCGTCTTTCCTGACTTTCTTCTCCTTCCCCAGTGTCCATCCTTATAAAGGGCAGGTTGAGGTTGGGTTATTGAGTGAATGAATGAATGAATACAAGAATGAATAAATATCTGCTTAAAGCTCTAGACTTGGGAGTTTTATCAGATCCCCCTGACAGCTACTCCCAGGGTGAGCCAGGCCTGGTGGATGGGAACTCTGGGATGAATGTCTGAGCTTCCTGTTAGCACCTGGGCAGCTACCCTCAGGTCCTTGTGTCCAGCCCTGCCCCCCCCCACAAGATGACCTTGGGAGAGTCACCTCACATCTCAATGTCAATGGCTGGTCCCCCCAGGAGAGAGGGAGCTATGGCGCCCACCACTACCTCACAAAGACAACAAATAAATGCTGAGGAACAAAAGCAGGCACTGTTTTAGAGAATTTATTTTCTAGACGGCCTGGGATCAAGGGCAGGACAGAGCCCTAAGGAGGAGAGGGATCCCAGGACACATGAGGGTCCTGTTCGTGGCAGGTCAGCACTTCCAGTGCCCATGGTAGGCATATCACCCTGGGCTTCAGGGGGGACACAGACTCTTGAAGATACTGAGCTTTTTGGCTGGCAAAGTGTCATTTCCCATCCTTGGATCTGAGCCCCACAACCACCCTGAAGGTGAGTATTCCCATCCTTATTTGTCAGGGAGGTTCAGAGAGGTTAGATGGTCTCCTCAGGGTCACACAACTCCAACCACCTTGCTGAGCTGCATCAGATGCCCTTGGAAGGGAGCAAGGACATATAAAGCTTATTTCCTTTATCTAGGGATCTTGCTGCCCCCAGGGAGGTGAGGCTAAATCCCAAATCCCAGTCCTTAGCTTGGCCTGTGCCACTCTGAGGACAACTTCCCTCCAGGGCTCCTTCACTTATTTCTGCCCACACACTCACACAGAGAGCCGGCTACCACAGCTGGCTGCCTCCCAGGGCCAGGAACGCTCCACTCTGTTCCCCTCCTTCACAGTTCCTAAAATTCTCCCATTTACTCATTTGCTCTCTTTCCATATACAAATATAACTAGAGCTTGTAACACTAAGCCAAGCGTACTCGTTCACATCATAGCATGAATTTAGTTATTACCAGCTCTTTGGGGAAGAGGAGGGGAAAGCGAAGTGTGGGGTACTTGGAAGAGGGCAGGCTTGGGTGTTGGGGGTTGGGGGAGGGGTAAAAGCCTGAGGGAACTAAGATGGGTATCTTTATAAAGGTAAAATAGGCAAGAAAGGTTAATCTGGGCAAATCTGGGGCTTCACAATTGACCCAGCTGGCCCCTCTCTAGGTGACCTCGAGTCTGGATTTTGGAAAGGGATGGGGGAAGAACATTACTTTTACTGTTCCATTCCACAGCCACCTGCTGAGCTCTGCCTTTGAGCCAGGCCCTGTGCTCTGTGCTGGAGGCACAGAGACAAGAGTTACCCAGTTGTGAAGCTTGGTTCAGCCAGTGGGGCTGGAGGACAAGCCCCCAAATCCTGAGGATTCTGGGCAGATGGTGATCAGGGCTGTTAAGATGGGCAAAGGGCCAGGGGAAGTTGAAAAAATGAAACTTGATTACTGGTTGCTTGGGCTGAGCTATACCCTGGAGGGCTGGTGGGGTTGGACATATGGAGATGATGGGAAGGGCATTCTGGGTGTCAGGAATAGACCATGCAAAGGCTCCAAAGTGGAAATGTATGGCATGGGTCTGGAGAACAGGGAGGCCAATATGCATGAAGGGAGAGGGTCAAGGCTGGAGACAAGGATGAGACCCAAAGAGCCAGGATGCCAGGCTCTGGAGTTCTGACTTCAGCCTAGGGCAGTGGGGAAGGGTTTAGAGCAAGGGAGTGACTAGTCAGGATTACGGGCCCTCTGGCTGCTGCGGGGCAGAGGGTGGATTGGAAGGGTCAGAGGGGATGTGGGGAGGGACAGTGCTGGGGCCTGAGGATGGCAGCCACCAAGATGGAGGTCAGGGAACGCAGAGACCTTGGCACAGGCTTGGGTGTTGCGGAGCAGCTGTCATGGTGGGGAGGCTGGGCGCCATGAGCCTTCCCAGAAGAGCCAAGGCCGTGGTCATTGGGGGCAGGGTTCTTCTCATTAGCGCAGCTTCTGGAGAATCTTCTTCACCCAGGGCAGCCTGGGGTCAGCACAGATCTCCCGGTCCTTGACGGTTAGCAGGCTGGAAGGAGGAGACACGAGGGGGATAGCGCAGCAGCTTTAGCATGCAGCATGGATGCCACACACCCCAGGGAGCTTAGCGTTTATGGGTCACCTCGTGTACATGGGGTCCAGCATTTATGAGTCACCTGCAGTATGCAGAGGCATCTGCTAAATAGAATGGCTCAATTCAGGAGGCAACTGCTGTATGCAAAGCACATTTCTCAATGGGCAGAGGGGTCGGTGAGCAGCAAGAACTTCTCTGCCCCTCAGCCTCTTCCTTGAGTGTCAGGTCAGGCCACAGAGCAGAATTTCCAACAGTCTAAAAATACTCCCTGACATTACCTTTGGAGAGAGAGTATTGGGTAGTGGCTAAGAGCATGGGCTTTGGGGACAGCCTATCTGGGTTCAAATCCTAGCACCGCCACTTGCTAGCTGTGTAATCTGGGGCAAGTCACTTAACTTTTCTGAGTCTCAGGTTCCCTAACTGTAAAATGGAGATAATAATCATAATCCAACCTCATAGGGTTTTGATAACAAGTTGATGTATCTATTTTTGTTAGGTGCCATAGAGTCAGTCTTGACTCATAGTGACCCTACGTATAATAGAACGAAACATTTCCTGGTCCTGTGCCATCTTCGCAATCGTTGTTTGAGCCCATTGTTGCAGCCACTGTGTCAATCCAAGAGGGTCTTCCTCTTTTTCACTGACCCTCTCCTTTACTAAGCATGATGTCCTTCTCCAGATAACATGTCCAAAGTACATGAGATGAAGTGGGTTTAGGACTAGCCTGAGAGGCAGAGGCATCCCCCTCCCCACCGCCCTTCCTGACTCTCAAGAGCAAGGGCCTATCCAAAGGGCCTGGGGCCTCCTGGACCCCTGCCCCACAACCAACAAAGAGAGAACAAAGATGGCAGCAAGTTTGAGCTCAGCCCCATGGGCAGCCTTCCCCAGCCGCCGTGTGACACTGGGCAGGGTTCAGCCCCTCTCTGGGCCTCCATTTCCCCACGTGTCAAGCCACATTCTTTCTAAGGTCCCTTCCAGCTCAAAATCCAATGATCCCATGTGAGCCGTCTTATGTTGAGCACCTGTGATGTGCCAGGCATTGAGCTTTTACACCTTCCCGTTGCTGTTACTGCGCGCTCTAAAGCTCACCAGGCCTCAGAACCTCGCTCTGATGTTTCCCCACCTGTGTAAAGGGCATCATAACAGTACCTGCTGCATAGGGTTGTTTCAAGGATTAACTGAGTTAAAACTTTCTCAGTTACAACAGTGCCTGGCACTTAGAAAGCATACTCTACATGTTTGGGATAAATAAAAAGAAATGAAGGTTTTACTCCCATGATACAGATGGGAAAAGCTGAGGCTGAGATGAAGTGACATGAACTCTGAGAGGACTTCCAGCTTTAGCCTTCTTTGTTATTCACCTGCAGACCCCTCTCTGAGAGACGGAGTCAGCAGGGAGGAGAAGGAGATGATGGAGTCCCAAACGAGGTCATGAGTCTTCAAACTGAAACACCCCCAGGGTGGAATTTTGCCAGCTCTGAAGGGTTGGAGAAGTAGCCAGAGGGGCTGCTGCAGAAAGTGGGAGCCCACCTGGGGGCAGGAGTAGGTTTAGGCCCCAGATCAAGGAAAAGAAGCAAAGGAGCAAAGAGGACGGGAAGAGCAAGAGCCTCAGGAGAAAGCTCTGAGCAAGGACCCAGGAGTCCTGGGTCTAGCCTGGGCAACCTTCCCCTCTCTGAGTTTGTTTCTTCATCTATAAAATGGGAGTGATCACACCTTCTCATAGGGTTGTTGAGAAGATTAAACAAGTTAACACAAGTCAAATGCTCAGCACAGTGCCTGGTACATAGGAGTTAGCTCTTAATATTATTCTTCTAGTCAAAAGTGGCTGCCTCCAATAACTCCCAGGGACCAGGGAAGACCCCAGTGCTTTTGATGGGAGCATCTTTGCTGACTAAGAAGCAGTAGGCACACTGCCCATTACCTGCACTGGCTCAGGCACCCTGTTCATTCAGCTTTACTTCCCCAAAACCTAGCCCAATGCCTGGCACATAGCAGGTGCTAGATAATATTTGTTGAATGACCACATTATTTTTGTTCTTGGTACACCCAAGCTAGGGCTGAGCTGTCCAATCCAGCCAAGCCCTCCCGGATGGCATCTGGACTCCAGGCTGCATTCCTCCCATCCCTGGGTCTACCCCCCCCCCCCACCTGTACCTGGGCCATCCTGGGCCACACCTGCTAGGCCTTCCAAGGCTCTGACTCCCCAGGCTCCTACTTACACCACGCCAGGCCTCCGGCAGGAGTCCGAGGTCCAGAAGAAATATTTCACCAAACGCAGGGGCAGGGGGTGACGGATATAGTCCCGGCAGCAGATGCTGTCCTCCACGTTGGCGCCATAGGGGCCTGGGGAGGTGGGATGATGAGAATTCACAAACTGGGGCACAGAGGTCATCCTCAGTCCCAACCCCTGACACTGGGGCCCTCCAGGCTCCAGGGAAGAGATGCAGTTTTTCTGTGGAAGGTTGGTGTCCGGAAGATTCTGGGTCCTCATAGACTCCACCCTCAGGCCCTCTGAGAAGCCACTAAGTGCCCAACGTCTACACTCTGGGGTAGTCAGCTCAAGGGGAAGGGTCTCAGATCAACTGACATCAATGATGCCCTCAGCTTCTAGATGAGACTCAGAGACTCTGGGCTGGATGGAGCCTTAGAATCTTGCTGTTCAAAGGGAGGCCCATGGACAAGCAGCATCAGCATCACCTGGGAGCTTGTCTCCAGCCCCAGACCCGCTGAATCAGGTGCACATTTTAACAAGATCTCCAGGGGATTTGTAAGCACACTAAGGTTTGAGAAGCCCTGCTTCAGATCACATCTACTCTGGCCCCCTTCACTGTGCAAATGGCTAGGCTGAGGTCCAGAGAGGGGAAGGACTTGCCCAGGGTCACAAGACCAGGGCTCAGGGAGGGTGCAGTCACACAGACCTGGGTTTGAGTCCTGCTCTGCTCTGAGTCACCAGGCCACCCTGGGTAAGTCATTTAACATCTCTAAGCTCAATTTCCTCCTCTGACCAAGGAGGTAATGATAGTACTTACCGTATGAGATCTTTAATGGAGGGGAGGCTCTCAGGAAACCCAATAAGTGTGAGCAATTATTGTTCATGTCTGCCTGATTCCCAGTCTAGTGCTCTTTCCCCTACCCAACATAGGGTAGGAGAACTTACATTGGGGCACAGAGAAGTCAGAAACCCAGTGTTGAGGGCAAGTACTGGAGCAAAAATGGGCTGGGGGGCAGGACCAGCTTTCCAAGGGAGGATTCCCTACCCTAGTTCCTGCCTTTCCCCATTCCAGCGGCCCCTCTTGGTGGCTCCTACTCTACACCCCAACGGTCCTATGCTCAAGCCTCTGGGCCAGGGGTTCCCCAGGCCATACCCACCACAACCCCCCAACTCAGCTGGAATAAATCCGAAACTCCCAGGCTCAAGACAACCCATTTAACAGATGTGTAAACTGAGGCCCCAAGAAGTGATATGATCTGCCCGAGACCAGAAGTCAGTGGCAGACTGGGGTCTTCTGCTGGCAATCCATGCTCTGTTCACTACATGAGGAAGACAGCCCAGTGTCTGACCCTGGCCTCTGCAGGGAGCCTCCCTCTCCCCGGCCTCACCTGCCTCGGTGCCTTGAAGTGCCACAGCAAGGAGGACGAGGGCAGCCAAGAGTGGGGTCTGTAGGCTGGCCATGCTCCTGTCCTATGTGTCCCAGCCCAGGTGTCTGCAGTCACCGGAGGGCAGAAAGTTCGGCTATATAAGCACTTGCTACACCCACAAGTCTCAGATGCTCACTCTTAGTCACTGGTGAGGCCAGAATCTCTGACATTCAAATGTGAAAGGAGAACTCTTGCTTCCTCCAAACTGCAGGAAATTCTCTGTGGCCGGGAATCACTCAGAGGGGACCCCCACACTGTCCTCCTCTCTGGGTCTCCAGGGACTTGAAAAATCCCCCTCCAGCTGGGCCCCTTGAAGGCCCGTGCTCCCCAGGGTCTGATCACAGTGTAGCATTGGCCATGTCACTGGATGTCTCTGGGACTCAATTTCCCCATTCGGGGATGTGGGAGATGGTTTCACCAACCTACCTATCTATCTCAGACATTGTAAATCATGTGAGAATGTGGACAGGAGCTAACAGCCCCAAACCCTCACCTGGAATTGAGGCCCAGTTTGTACCCTTGGTGACCTTTATCATTGATCTCTCTCTTCAAAGGGACAGGTCCATGCACCCGTTGAGTTGGTCTCTCTGCCCCATCACCAGCCTCTTCCAGGGTTTCTCGCAACGTCTCAAATTGGGCAGTTGGTGTTCCACTCAAGTTTGCAAAGAGCTTCCACACACATTCATGACTTCCTTCTGTTCTTCCTTCCCAGCTGCCACCAGGCTCCTCTTCATCCACCCCTTCTCAATCTCTCACTATGTCCCACTGGTTCTACTTCCTAAATCTCTGGGCTCTGCCTCTCCTCTCCATCCCCACTGCCCTACCCAGCCACATGGCACCTCCATCTCAGGCCGGACATTGGCCCCCTCCACCCCCTTTCCAACTGCAGCAGCCAGAGTGAGCTGTCCAGACTCAAAGGTACACGTGCCTCCCTCCTGCTTCAAACCCTGCTGTGGCTCCCACTGACCTGAAGGCAGAGCCCAGGCTCCTGACTGTGGCCTTCAATGTCCTCTTTCCAGACAGGTACCACCACCTCAGATCATACCACACTCTTCGCAGTTCCTCAAAGAGGTCAGCTGGTCTGTCCCGGGCCACAAATGTCCTTTCCACTTCTCTACCACATAAACTCCAACTCATGCGTCAAGAGCAATTTGAAACGTCAGCTCTGTGTCATCCTGAGGATGTCAAAACTCTCTGGGGTAACCTAGAATGGGAAAAATGGGGTGGATTTCTCTTTCTTAGGCCCCTCCTCAGAAGCCCAACTCCAAGCTCTTGGAAGGCAAGGGTCTCCTTTTATTTGTCTTGGCATTCCCAGAGTCCACCAAGGGTTAGGCATGCAGTGGGTGCTCAGAACACATCTAATGAAACAGGAAACCAAGGCTCAGAGGAAACAAAGGTCATGCAGCTATCAGTAAGTGGCTGCGCCGGGCCTGGAACTCAGGACTTAGGACTCCATTTGTAAAAGGACCCATCCATTCATTATTTCATTCATTCATTCAACAAATATTTATTGAGTACTACAGTAAACAAATGACGGTCCCCCAGAGATGTCCACGCTCTAATCCCTGGAACCCGTGAATATGGCAAAATGGAAATTGCAGATGTGTTTAAGGATTTTGAGATGAGGAAATTATCTTGGATTATCCAGATGAAAACAAAACAAAACTCATTTCAGACTCATAGTGATTCTATAGGACAGAGTACAACTGCCCCATAGGGTTTCCGAGGTTGTAAATCTTTACAGAAGCAGACTGCCACATCTTTGTCTCGTGGAGTGGGCTGGTGAGTTTGAACTGCTGACCTTTCTGCTAGCAGCTAAGTGCTTAACCACTGCACCACCAGGGCTCCTTACGGGCCCAGTGTAATCCCAAGGGTCCTTATAAGAGGGAGGCAGCTGGGTCAGCGTCAGAGGAGATGTGACGAGTGAAGCAGAGGTCAGAGTGATGCTGACCCATGAGCCAAGTAATGTGGGTGGCCTCCAGAAGCTGGAAAAAGCAAGGAAATGGATTTTCCCCTAGAGCGTCTAGAAGGAACACAGCCCTGCAGACATCTTGATTTTAGCCCACTGAGACTGGTTTAGGACTTCTGACCTCCAGACTGTAAGAGAATAAATGTGTATTATTTTAAGCCACTAAATAGTGTGGTAATCTGTTACAGCAGCAATAGGAAACTCTTACAGGCACCTACCATGTGTCAGGCACACTGCCGGGATTTGGGAATACAGCAGTAAACAGTTACAGATACAGAAGTTATGGAGTAGTGAATGGAGTTTGTCTTCTAGAAAGACAATAAGCAGGTAAACAAAGACCAAACAAGGTCGTGTCGGGGTGTGATGAGTGCCGTGAGGAAAATAAAACAGAAAAATAGAAAGTGACTCTGAGGAAGTAATTTGGGGCAGTGCAGTCAGGAAAGGCTTCTATGAGGAGGTGAAATTCAAGCCGGAAATCTGGAAGAGAAGGAGGAGCCAGCCTGTGAGGAAACAGCAAATGTCAGGGTGAGAGTTTGGGTAGACAGATGTGGAGGGAGTGGGGCACAGTAGGGAGGCAGGATGGGAGAGGTTGCCCAGCCGTGGTTGGGGGTGTGGATGCATCAGGAGCCTCCTGACTGGATGCCACCAGAAGTACACAGCATCATCTTGGAAGAAGTCTTGTCAAAAGGAGTTACCCAATCCAAGACGGAACAATTGGTCTCTACTCACTTGGAACAACAGAGGAAGAAGAAGAGTCAGGAATAGGAGAAGTATACGGAATGTGTGGCTAATTGCCTCTATGAACAACTGCCTCCTTTGCCATGAGACCAGAAGAACTGGAGGGTGGCCTAGCTACCATGACTGAACACGTTGATCAAAGATTCCATAGAAGAATCCTGATCAAAAGGGGGAACATGCAGAACAGAATTTCACATTCTCATGGACTCCAGACCTCCTGGAGCCTTGAAGGTTGGATGAACCCCTGAAACTATTGCCCTGAGATGATCTTTAAACCTTAAACCAAAAATATCCCCTAAAGTCATCTTAAAACTGAACAGTAGTTTAGCTTAACTAGTAAAAAAGATCTGCCTTGAGCATTATGCTCTTTTAAGAACTATCTGTATGGGATCAGATTGACAACAGCAACACAAAAGATTAGACAGGAACCTTAGGGGGCAGTGAGTTTATATTAGTGAGGGAGGAACAACGCAGAAAAGGAGAGTGAGAATAGTTGCACGACTCAAAGAATGTAATCAACATCACTAAATTGTACATGTGGAAAGTGTTGAATTGGTGTATTTGCTGTGTATAGTCTCAATAACAACAACAAAATAGATAAAATTTAGGGAAAAAAATTAATGTTTTTTTTTTTGAGGATTATACAAAGCTTTATTCAATCACTTAATCTTCACCAAGACAATTACTTATCAATTAAGCCAGATAATTAGATGACAAAAACTTCTACAGTTTTTTTTTTAATATGCTAAAGCTTTACATGATAATAGTGAATATTATAGAAAGAGCTCTGGTTTGAGAATTATTCTACCTTAAGTTACTATTTTTTTTTAAATTGTACTTTAGGTGAAGGTTTACAGAACAAATAGCTTCTCATTAAACAGTCAGTACACATATTGTTTTATGACATTGGTTAACAACCCCATGACATGTCAACCCTCTCCCTTCTCAACCTTTTTTTTTTTGGTGAAAATATACATAGCGAAAGATACACCATTTCAAAAATTTCTACATGCACAATTCAGTGACATCGATTGCGTTCTTCCAGTTGTACTGCTATTCTCACTTTAGATGAAGGTTTACAGAACAAAACAGTTTCTCGTTAAACGGTTAGTACACATGTTGCCCTGTGACAATGGTTAACAACCCCACTACATGTCAACATTGTCCTTACTCAACCCGGGGTTCCCTATCACTAGCTTTCCTGTCCCCTTCTGCCTTCTAGTCCTTGTCCCTGGACTGCTGTGCCTCATTAGTCCCGTTTTGTTTTATGGGGCTGTCCAATCCCCAGCTGAACGGTGAACCTCGGAAGTGACTTCGCCACTGAGGGTGTCTGGGGGCCATACTCTCGGGGTTTCTCCAGTCTCTTTCAGGCCAGTAAATCTGGTCTTTTTTGTATGTGTTAGACTTTTGTTCTACATCCTTCTCCACCTCTGTCCAGAACCCTCTGTTGTGATCCTGGTCAGAGCAGTCAGTGGTGGTAGCCGGACACCATCTAGCTATACTGGACTCAGTCTGGTAGAGGCCTTGGTAGCTGTGGTCCATTAGTCCTTTGGACTAATCTTTTCCTTGTATCCTGTTCTCTTCATTCTCCCTTGTTCCCGAAGGGGTGAGACCAGTGGAGTATCTTAGATGGCTGCTCACAGGCTTTTAAGGCCCCAGACGCTACTCACCAAGGTAGAATGTAGAGCATTGTCTTTATAAACCGTGTTATGCCAGTTGAGCTTGATGTTTCCCGAGACCATGGTCCCCACAGCCCTCTGCTCAGCAATTCAGTTCCTCAGGGAGTCTGGATGTGTCTATGGAGCTTCCGTGACCTTTCCTTGTACAAGTTGTGCTGGCTTCCCCAGTATTGTGTACCGTCTCACCCTTCACCAAAGATACCACTTATCTATTGTCTATTTAGTATTCCCCCCCTCATCCCTCGTAACCAACAAAGATTGCTACTTTTTGTGTGTAAGCTTTTTCATGAGTTTTTACAATAGAGGTCTCCTACAATATTTGTCCTTTTGTGATTGACTTATTTCACTCAGCATAATGTCCTCCAGTTTCATCCATGGTATGAGATGCTTTACAGATTGATCATTTTTCTTTATCGTTGTGTAGTACTCCATTGTGTGTATGTACCATAGTTTATTTATCCATTCATCTGTTGATGGGCATCTAGGTTGTTTCCATCTTTTTGCTATTGTGAACAATGCTGCCAGAAACATGGGTGTGCATATGTCTATTCGTGTGATGATTCTTATTTCTCTAGGATATATTCCTAAGAGTGGGATAGCTGGATCGTATGGTATGTCTATTTCTAGCTTTCTGAGGAAGCGCCATATCATTTTCCAAAATGCTTGTATCATTATGCAT